GGTCCAATCATTCATTTCAAAACGACCTTTGGTCCATTCATTCATTCCTGTCAGACTTCTGTCCACAATCCCAATTAACAACTCATAACGTTTATAAGGGAATAAACAATTGGACATTGACAAGTTTTCAAATATTGATATTACTCATAGTGATCGGCTTGTGGATTTGCCCTGGAGCTTGACCCTACACGTTTCATGAACACAAAAGGGTCATTAATAGTTCAATCCGTTCTATAATTCACATATTCCTCTTTAGGCTTTATTATTATCTCATTAACTCATTTACAATGCTTAGCATATGCCTAAGAGTGCTTGCAAGTGAAAGAGAACGGAAAACAGAACACAAAATGCAAAAACAGGATTTCAGAAAATAGGGTCCCCGCTCGAGCGGTCCCTCAAGGCCTGCAAAAGTACTGGTTGTATGAAAAATACGCTCGAGCGTTAAATAGGGCGCTCGAGCGGAAGGCCTATCAAAATAGCTCCCACACTCGAGCGTCAACTTCCCCGCTCGAGCGGGAACCATGTCCGCAGAAAATGCTGGGAGCTCGATTTATCCGCTCGAGCGTCACTTCACCCGCTCGAGCGGACATCGAAAATCAGGGTTTTTCAGATTGAGTTCTTGAGCTTCATCTCGACATTCAAAGGCCCTAAATGCATGATTTCGGTCCAAACTTCACATAATCATATACTAACATGGTACAAACACCAAAACACATTATTATGGAGCTCAATTTCAAGGATTACACACTTGCATGTCTCAAATTGACACCAAATTCAACTTTATCATGCATATTCTTGCATTTCAAGCTCCCATCTTTAATTATTCAAACATGCATGCCCATCTTGACTTCATTTCTATTTCAAAAGATGCAACTGGTGCTTATTCCCATAAAGCTTAACAAAACCAAGCTTGCATGCATGATCAAACTTCAAATCTTGCTTAATTGACATGATGCATGCTAGATTTTGCAACTTATGGCAATTCAAAAGTAATCCTGTGTATGCATGATCATACCTCATCAAAACCAATTTAAATCATGCTCTTGATCACAAAAATACTTTGAGCTCACAAGATTACAAGTTCAATTCATGATTTCAAGAGTCAATGGCTTACCTAGAAGTCCAATTCTTCAATCTATGGTCCAATTTGAGTTGGACTTCAAAATTCCAAGCCCTCAAGATCAAACACAGATTTTTCTCTCTTCTCTCTCTCTAATGGCCGGCACTCTCCTTTCCTTAGAGTGCATATCAGCCAAGTGAGTATTAGAGAGGGAGTTTAATTGAGTAGTGCTCATATACAACAAGCCCTTCCAAGTCAATATAATAATAGAGAGTAATTGGGTACCCATTTTACCAACTAAATCTGGTCCAAATCAATTTTTCAATTAAATTTCACCGTAGGCTCTAAAAATTATGCCAATCACAATGGCGTATTCAATTTCGGGTTCTGTGGCCGATAAGGCCCTCAATTTAATTTCCAAAGCTGATTATTCAAACAGATATTCCTACGGTGAACAGGTAGAAATTCAAAACCACATATTTTCACATAATGGCATACAAAACCATGCTAAACACATAACCATAAACAACTTAAGGACCAATTAGCATAATACAGAACAGGGATGTCACATGGTTAGTACTCGAGCAAATATAAATTCATGTCGTCATTCTCTTGGCAAGATGGATGTATTATGTCCTTTATGTTCAGCATTACATTGGATGGATGAAAAATTAGTAAAATCATCTCTAAACTGTCCTTTATCCGGAACATGATGTTCAAAAGGGAAGGTTAAGCTTTCTCTGCTTATTACACCCCTTTCACTTCTTCAAGTATTATATGATGGGAATGATGATAAATCAAAATCGTTTCGGTGTTATACTCGAGTGTACAATGCAACCAATGCTTTTACAAGTCCTGGTGCTACATTAGATCCAAGAGTACTTACTGGAAGAGGCCCTACATCATTCACTATCCATGGGGAATTGCGACATCGAATAGGATCACTACTACCATAATCAGGGCAAGATGCAGCTTATGCGTAATTGTACATTTATGACCCTCATTCAGCTTTAGAAGTTCGCAATCGTAGAAATCCTCAATTAAGAAGAGATGTTCTAAAAACTATTCAAGATGGTTTATTACAAGTTAATGCATTCGTTGCTAAATTTCGCCGGGCTCATGCAATTTTGAATCAATTAGCCTTGACAGGACGAAATTTGCCTGCTCATCTCCACTACAGTTCATCGACAGATCGATGACGGTATAACCTACCAACTATAGATGAGATTGCAGTTGTAATACCAGGTGATGGAACCAAGGTTATAGTAGAATGAGAGATGTTATCTTACATCTACATGGAAATAATGAGCTAATGCAAATCAATGAATGTCACCCAGCATATTTGTCATTACATTATGTTTTATTATTTTCCCATGGTAAGCTTGGATGGGAACCTGAGATGAAACTGTGGGATGTTGAACGTGATCGACCTTCAACTGATCGGCTTACTCAAATGGATTTTTATAGTTATCGTTTGTTTGAACGACCCATAGAGTATTCAATAATTTTGAGCGCTGGAAAATTGTTCCAAGAGTTTTTGGTTGATGCTTGGGCCGCAACTGAACAAAATGGGTTGACTTGCTACAAGCTTAATCAAGGGAAGATCCGTGCTGAACTTTACCAATATTTGACAGATATTGATCCAAATGACCTTCAACGTAATCAAATTAGTCAAAGGTTTGTTTTGCCATCTTCATTTCCTGGAGGTCTTAGACACATGTTTGAAATCTTTCAAGACTCAATGGCTATCACACGATACAACCAACATCCAGACATTTTTCTCACCATGACTACAAATCCTAATTAGCCAGAAATTACTTCGGCATTATTACCGCACCAAAAGCCTATTGATCATCCTGATTTAATTGCCTGTGTTTTTGAGTTAAAGAGAAAGTGCTTAATGAAAGAGATCGAAACAAACTGAGTGTTTGGTAATAAAGTTGCGCATGTTTTTACAATTGAATTCCAAAAGCGAGGCCTTCCTTATATGCATGTACTTCTATTTCTTAAGGGTCCAGACAAAATTCGGACATGTGCTCAAGTGGACAAATTGGTTTGTGCAGAATTTTCAGATCCAAAAGATGAACCTATGCTTTTTGAAACTATCAAGTGTTGTATGGTACATGGACCATGTGGTGCTCGAAATCCACAAGCACCATGTATGGAAAATGATAAATGCACTAAGAGATACCCTCGAGCGTTCGCAGAAACAACTACTATGGATCAAGATGGATATCCTATCTATCGTCGTCGCAATAATGGTCAAGCTCATATTGTGAGGGGGAAAGAAGTTGATAACAGAGATATCGTACCATACAATGCATATTTTTCTAAACGTTTCAACTGTCACATAAATGTGGAAGTTTGTGCCAGAATGAGATGTGTCAAGTATATACACAAGTACATTTACAAGGGTTATGACCATACACCGGTGGTGTTGGGATTGATAAATGAGATCCAATAATATCTCGATACGAGGTATATTGGACCTCCAGAAGTTGCTTGGCGAATATTTGGTTATCCATTGCATGTAGAGATACCAACAGTTGTACGCTTAGCATTTCATTTACCTGGAATGCACTGCGTTCTTTTTAATCCTGATGAATCATTAGAAACAATTGTTTCTAGAGCTGGCCAACAAATGTCAACTCTTACTGGTTTTTTTGCATGTTGCGCTTCTATGGAAGATGAATGTCCATTCACTTACCAAGAATTTCCACAACATTTTGTTTGGCTTAATTAAGAAAAAAGATGGAAACCAAGGCAGCAGGGCTATGCAATCGGTAGAATGTACTTTGCTAGCCCTAATTGTGGTGAGAGATTTTATTTGCGTTTGCTATTAACTGTTGTCAAAAGACCAAAATCGTTTCAATGTTTACGGACGGTCAACAATGTTTTGCATGATACGTTTAAATCAGCATGTGTTGCAAGAGGACTTTTAGAAGATGATAAAGAATGGATACAATGCCTTAAAGATGCTTCAGTTATGAAAACTGGTTATCAATTAAGGAGATTGTTTACTATTATTCTTACTCAGTGCTCTCCACTGCAACCATATGCATTATGGAATCAATTTTCAATGCATATATGTGATGATCTTGCACATAAGATTCGAACATTGTTTTCCATTTCTGAACCAATTGAGGGTCAAATTGAAGACTATGGTCTTTATCTTTTGAATCAAATGCTCCAAGAATCAAGAAAAAGTTTAATTGACTTCCCGCCAATGCCACAACCTTCTACAAATTGAAGTGCAGTAGTTGGTAACAGGTTGATATTCGAACATCAACAACTGCATAATGAGGCACAACAAGCAGATGCAAAAATTATTATTGATCGCCTTAACAATGATCAATGAACAGCTTATGATGCAATCACTTCCTCAGTCTTTGAAAATAAAGAAACTATTTTCTTTTTGAATGGAGGTGTTGGAACAGGGAAAACGTTTTTGTACAATGCGATTGCATTAAAGTGTTGCAGCCTTGGTCATATTGTTATTACTGTGGCTTCATCTGGAATTGCATCATTGTTATTAGTAGGAGGTCGTACTGTTCATTCAACATTTTCTATTCCGTTGGATGTATTGGAAAATTCAATTTGTGGATTTAGCAAGCAATCATTACAAACAGAATTGTTTAGAGAAACAAAACTTATAATTTGGGATAAAGTTTATATGCAGCATAGACATTGTGTTGAGGCAGTTGATCGCACACTTCGGGACACTTGTGATAATGAAAAGCCATTTGGGGGTATCACTGTTGTTCTTGGTGGAGATTTTTGACAAATCTTACCAGTTATAACCAAAGGAGTCCGTGAGCAAATTGTGAATGCATCATTAAGACACTCTTTTCTATGGAAGGATATACATGTTCTGTCTTTAAATTTGAACATGCGCTTGAATCATGCAAATCTTGAAAATGCTAATTTTGCAAAATTCTTGATGGAGGTAATATTTCTTCAAACTTTTTCTCTATTATATGGTTCTTTTAAATTGACGAAATACATTTACGTTTATGTACTTTAATTGATTTTACTTACTATTTTATTTATTTATTTTTATAAATAGATTGGGACCAATCATTGGGAAATTGTTAAACTTCCATCAACAATACACAAATGCCAAGATCTAAAAGACATAATCTCAGTAGTTTATCCGCAACTGGATGTGGCAATGACATCGACTGCAACATTTTTAACTGAACGTACAATTCTTTCTGCACGGAATGATGATGTCAATGCTATCAATACTGCAGCATTGAATATTTTTCCCGGTAACACACATACTTATTTGGCAACAGAAAAGATGTCTGAAGTTGATGAAATTGATCGTACTATAATAAATAGATATCCTAATGAATATTTAAATTCATTAGATCCTCTTGGACTACCAGCTTTTAAGGTAGAGTTGAAAGTGGGTTGTTCTATAATGTTGTTAAGAAATGTTACACCAAAAGAAGGACTGTGCAATGGCACAAGATTGATGGTTTCTAGATGCAATATTCGCATAATTGAAGCTCAAATTTTAACTGGAGAAAAATGTGACAATTTGGTATTTGTACCAAGGATATCCTTGACACCGTCTTCTGCAGAAATGCTTTTCCAAATGACAAGACGTCAATTTCCAGTTCGATTGGCATATGCCCTGACCATTAATAAATCTCAAGGGCAATCTGTGAAATTTGTTGGAGTTGATTTGAGCACACCAGTGTTTAGTCATGGGTAATTGTATGTGGCCTTATCTAGATGCACATCTTTTGATCGTATAAGCGTCCTCCTTCCCAATGATGAGCCAGATTCTACTACAAACATTGTTTATCCTAAAATTTTGTTATAGTGTTACTTATGGATCAAACCACTTTTTGTCAAAGGGTACAATTTATCTATTGATAAATTTGTTTCTATTGATTACATATTGTTATTTTTAAAATATTTTACTATATGTGTCGACTTTTGTAGGATTGGGTTAAAAAATATATGGAGTTCAAAAATATAAATACAACTAGATTGCTTCGATGGGGATGTAACAAGGTAATTTCAATTTGAAAGTGTTTTGATATATATATAAATTTTCTTTTACTAATATACTAACTTTTTTTTATTTTCATAAATTAGTAGATTGTCGTGCATGCTCCTCACTGGAGATACATACAAGTTGATACGAGGACTTTTTGGAAAGTGATGAGGCGCTTCTAGGATTTCTAAGAAAGAACAAGTTTGAATCTCATATTTATTTTTGTGAAAAGCGTACATATGGTAGCTACGATCCATATCTTATAAAGTTTTCGATCGATGTGAAATTTATTACTTACAATAGTTTTGTAAAGCCTTTTATCTATGTGAAATTTATAACTAAGTTTAGATGTATGTTAGATAATATTCATTTGAATTATTGATTTATGCTATGAGTTTGTTTTTGTAAATGTAACACACTAGGTAATATATATTTTTTTGTTTTTTCTTCCTAATATGCTCTTGAATTTGGTTCAACAAAACTAATCATATTTTTATTTGGTTATCTTTTTATCAGGAAGGGTGTTGCATTTTCTTTGTATTACAGAATATTGGTTGGTGTGCTTAATTTGTTATTTGGTATTTTTTTTGTATTGCAGAGCACTGGCTGGTGTGCTTAATTTGTTATTTGGCATTTTTTTTTTGTATTGCAGAGCATTGGCTGGTGTGCTTAATTTGTTGTTTATTTTTTTCTATTGCATAGCATTGGCTGGCGTATTTCGTCTGATTTTTATATAGATGTTTCTGTGTTGTGGGACTTGCATTTTGTTGTTTGTTTAAAATCTTATGCTTTTGTTGTGCTTGAATTTTACGTAACATTTATGTTCAAATTGATTTATTTACCAAGTAGCATAAAATTTATTTATTTTTCATTTATTTAATTTTCTACACAATAAACTGACCACCAAACCATAAAAATTGGTAGATTTTAACCATTACATTAAAATTGATGCAAAACTATAATTTTGAGATCTTTCTTCTTTACTTCAACCAAAACTCACTATCTAAAAAAATGTGGATATAGAAATTTATTTGGGTACTGTTATTGGCTAGGATAATAAAATGCTTATTTTCTATTACAAATTGCAAGTGGGTTACATAAACAAAAATATTAGAATAGTAAATATTTGGTGATATGATCTTTGTTTGCATTTGTGTCATCATACTACAATAATCCAAACTCTTTTAAAAAATCTAATTATAAAATTCATTTGAAAATCCAAAACTATCTATTTATATTTTCACCTCAAATTTTTTTCCCGACAAATTAAATAAATTACATTTTAACCCAATAATTTTATATTCAATTACATTTTTATATATTAATGATCACTGTGCCTTCAGGCACGAACATACCCTAGTATATATATATATGTGTGTGTGTTGGAGCTTACAAGCTCTAGCCCAACTGCCCAAGCCTGCAATAGTGCTTGGGCTTTGGGATTCTGTTAAGAAAACTGATAGGCTTTTCCGTAACTAGCTGCTGATATTTTTGATGATCCCATTCCTGGACCCAAATGGCCCATTAGGTGTGTGCACTATTCTCGTACCCAATCACATTGAGGGCACATTTGACAATCGAGTATTTTAATTAATTTTTTTTTATAAAATTAAAAAAATTGACGCGACAACTTAAAATGATCTTTTGGTTTTCGTTTTTATTTTTTATTTTTTTTGTTTGTTGTATGTGTGTGACTATTTTACTCCCCAAATAAGGCCCAAATGATATGATAGTGGAAATAAGAAGTGAAAAATATGGTTAATTTAGCTAGTTTAGTGTGTATTGTTGCAAAGGATATAATTCCAGCCGCCAAAATGGTCTCCAAATTTCTTCCCAATTTGCATTCTCAGGTTATTATTGGATTATACAAAAAAATAAAAAAATAATTTTTTTTTTTTGAAGGATTCAAGCCTCCATAAAGACGAGAAAAGGCCCTTACAAGAGAGGAAAGCAAATCTCCACACATAAAAGATTAATACATCAATAAATTAAAAATTAAGAAAATCAAATAGAAAAAAAATACAAAATCCAAGTCATCATCAAACTTATCCAAAACCCACTGCTCCATAACATTCAACTTGGAATCTAAAAACATCGCCTCCGCTGGTCATGATAGAACATTGAAGTTGATATGATCATTTAGCGTGAAATAATTGCGTTATCCAGCGTTGGCTTTCGGATTATGAGAAGATCTGAAACTAGATTTTGAAGTTTTGGGCTCAAGGGTGGAGAAGGTAAGGAAGTAATGATCGGACTCGTAAGGCAAACATTAGATCTCAGTTTGACTCCACGTTCGCTGGTCAAGATAGAATATTGAAGTTGATATAGCCGTCTAGCATAAAACAATCGCGTATCTACTGTCGGCCTTCGGATTGTGAGAAGTTAAATCTTAGAGTTTGGGGCTCAAGTGTGGAGAAGATAAGGCAGTAATGACCGACTCGTGAGACAAACATTAGATCTCAATTAAGGACTAGATAAGGCAGTAATGATGGAACTCGTGAGACAAACATTAGATCTCAATTACGGACTAGATCTGTAGGAGGATTAGAGTATATACAAAAAAAAACTTATTAAAAAAAATATAAATCTTGAAACATTACTCAATATTTAAGAGTATATACCGCAGTTGAAAGATTATACTAGACTAGATATTGTTTTCATAAATGTTAAAAACTCACAATTTTATATTCACAAATGCATTTATAATGATGTGCTAAGAGGATTAAACCCTATAAAATAAGTGTATGACAAATAAAAAATTAACACATATCTTATCATATCATTGTAAATGAAATTAGAAAACTTTTTTAAGAGTCTTAAACATTTTACTATCGATTTTAGTAAATGAATTTCAAATCCACAAAAAGATGACCTTCAATGTACAAAGAAGAAAATAACTCTAAAAGAAAAATTAAAATATTGTTGATAAAAAAAAAAATTACCTTAAGGGGTACGCGATTATTTATAAGATGAGAAGCCCTAATCCAAAGAAAAATAAATAAATTTGGATACTAAAACATATTAGAAATATACAAAAACAGACTTAGTAAAATGGAAAAATTATCAATTTGAGAGCCTAAACGAGTATCATCGCCAAGGATTATTGAATTTAGAGAGATTTTGAGCTCACCAGAGAAATTATTTTATTGCCCTAATTTGACCTATTTGCGTTTATTGATTCAACTGTTCTATATCAGCTAAAATATTTATATATACAAAAAAAAAAAAAAAAAACACACACTTGAAAATAAAGAATTTCATCCAGATTTCAACAAAAATATTATATGTTTTTTCATTTATTTTCACTTGATTCCATGCTTCAATGAAGTCTCATTTTGTCCCTAACTTTATTTATTGAAAAAGAAATCATCCTTAATCCACAACACTTTTAATTCTCTTTATTATTTGATTGCATAATCAATTTTGAAAACGAGTAGCAATTTCGCAATCAGCCACAGCCACAGCACCCCTTCCCTGCACATTCTTGTAAGAATACCTCCTAGCCAACAACACATACACACACAAATTCACCGCCGCGATGGCTGCCAACAGCCAATAAAACTTGTCCACTCGGCTACTATTCAAGTCCTTCCCTAACCAACTCTTTCCTTCCTTCTCCGTCACACGGTCCACCACCGTGATCAACAGACTACTAATGAAATTCGCAACTCCGAACACACTTAAATAAAATGCCATTCCCAAACTTCTCATCGAATCGGGAACTTGGTCATAAAAATACTCTTGCAATCCCACTACTGCAAATCCATCCCCGAATCCAATGATCAGAAACTGGGGAGCTAACCAAAACACGCTCATCGAGGCGGAAGTTGAAGCGGTCTCTACTAGCTTTAGCCTCTTTCTTTCCACCAAGGCTGCGACAACCATTGTCACGACAGAAAATGACATCCCAATCCCCACTCTCTGGAGGATTTTGATGCCTCGCTCGTTGCCTGTCACGCGCCTTAATAAGGGTAAAAGGGTCTTTTCATAGAGGGTGACCGATATGATCATTGCGATGGCAGTGAGAGAGTAGATTGAGGCCGGAGGGATTGTGAAATCGGGGGTGATTTTACGATTGAGGGCGATGCTTTGTTTGATAAAGAATGTTGAGGATTGTGCGATGCAAACACCGAATGGCAAGGTGGAGAGCCAAATGGGAATCATGTTGATGATTAGCTTCAATTCCTCGACTTGGGTTACAGTTGTGAGTCTCCATGGATTTTGTTGGTTTTGGGATGAAGTATGTTTGTCTTCTAGGATTGCGGCCTTGTCAAGAAACCTGAAATGGAATAACAAAATGTGTAATTGAAATAGAAGTATGGGCATGAATGTAAATGGAATTATGGAAGTGATTGATATAAAACTGAAATGTATGTTACTAATTGTTTGGATGAAAAATATTTTTCAATCAATGTTTGGTAAGATGAAAAACATTTTCCGAACCCAGCAAGACAACCACTACCACCATTATACAACCACCACAACCCTGACCACAACCCCTGCAACAACCACCAACACCACCACCACCATTGTCGCTGCCACCACCACAACACAACTATCATTATTGCTACCACAACTACAACTGTTGTTGCCACCACCACCATCACCCCACCACCACTACCATAACCATCAACACCATCATTTTCAAGGTTGCTACCAAATACAGAATTTTGATTTTTTTTATTTTATGTAAAAAACTTTTTTTGCGAATATGTGTTATGTATAATTTTTTCTCAAGCAAATATTTCTGCCAAAACAAACATAATATCATAATGAAAAGACTGATTCAATATCTTACTTAAGCTTATCAGTATGGCAGAGAAGCCTCCCCTTGGTCTTCTGCAACTTTGGAACTTCATACAATTCAGCAGGATCCGAAACACGAGGAAGATTTCTCTTCCTAATGGCAGCCACAACAACTTGCAACATCGGTGTTAAGGGACTTCCTGTCAGTTTCCTGTACCGATAAAACGGCCTTCCGATACAAAAAATCACCACACTAGTAGCCATTACAGCTGTGAGTATAACATCTGCAACAGCCCAAGTCATATGGTCTTGAACATAAACAAGCACTGTTACACCAAGCAATAAGCCAGAGCATAGGCCAAAGTTCCACCAGTTGAAGAAAGACATCTTCTTTATTCTTTCCTCAGGATGATCATAATCGAATTGATCAGCTCCAAAGCTCTCTAATGATGGTTTGTGACCTCCAGTGCCTATGGAGATCAGGTAGATTGCAAGGAAGAAGACTACTTCATGAATCTTTCGCGGTTCTTGACAAATGCCGGTGTCACTGCAAGGCTTTAAGCTTGGAACCAGTGTGGACATTGTCAAGAGAATCAAACCCTGGTTGCCATAAAACATTGGAAAACATAGTATCCAGATTTAGTAGAATGAAACAAGAACTGTCAAAATAGCCTAATATGATAGCCTGCTAAAAGTTCATATCCTGACCGATGTGTACTTTTTTACTTTTTCTTTTTTTTTCCCCTACAGTGTGATTCCGCATAGAACTGGTAGGCTCAGACAAAAATGTCAATTCATTTCTCACTAGGAATAAATTTGGCTGAACTTGGGATTCTTTAAAACAATCTGGGAATAGGGTTATTTGAAATTTATGCTCCCGTCAGTTTCAATGGAAAACGTTTTGATGTTTAAAATTGGAAAATGTTTTTCTAAATAAAGTTTTACCAATACCTCCACTTTTGCCGCCGCTGCCGCAGCATGGACACCTCTAAGAAGGTGACATATCCGACTTCGACACTAAGACATACATTGGACACTTTCCGACATGTGTCCGACACTCATCAAAACATGTCTTATTTTTTAAAATATTTTTGAAACCTGGACACTTTTCGGACACTTGTAGGACACACACCTCCATCACTTAAACACGCATTGATTAGATACACATGAAACTAATTATAAGTTTGAACTAAATAATTTAAGATACAACAACAAAAGAAGATCAATGCACATTTATAAAACAAAGTGTTATATTATATTTTTTTTATTATCTTTGAATGATATATTCTTATATATGACATATAATAAATATATAAAATTATATATTTTTAGTGTGCCCCTCACGTGTCGTGTCTTATATTTTTTGAGAATTATTGCGTCTCTTATCCATGTCGTATCCATGTCATGTCTTGTGTCCATATCCGTACTTCTTTGACCACCACCAACAATATCACTAATATAGCTAATAGCCCAATTTTTGATGTTTAAGATGGTGCAATACACTTTTATGGAGGCCGCGTCTTTTTGGGTCGAAACCCATGAGGCCAACTGTTGGACTGAGTCATAATGAACAATACTAGATTGTGTGTCTTATGCCTACAAAGAACTGAAATTTGAGATTTATTTTACCAGAAGATAGACAATAGATGAAGCCAACACAGTAGAGAATCCACCCAAGTAAGCATCGGCTAAGAACCCTCCAAACAATGGCATAATAGTGGTAACACCAATCCAGTAATTGCAGCTCTTTGCTGCTGTTTTGAGGTCCTGATGAATCACCCTGGTCAGGTATATGATTAAACTTGTTGCTATGCCAAAGTAGCTTAACCTCTCACTGAACTCAATTGCTGCCAAAATATCATAACCAGAGAAAGCTTAGTGAGGATTTCAAGTTTCAAAATAGCCATAAGAATATATAGTAGTGTTATTTATTGAAAACATTGTGTGTTTTCAATTACAATTATGAAAAGCAGTGCTCTTCAATAACATGCTCCCAGTTGGCCAGGGATCCTCTATCCTTAGAATTCTTGTCCCATTGCACTTCTTGTTATACAATGTGGTGAAAATTTCGAAACACGAGAATTTTGAGGCACAATTATGCAAGTTATAAATGCATTAAGTACGAGAATTTTGGAACAGAGAATCTTGTGCACTTAAGAGCTTCACCATACTAGTAACGGGCAGAAGACAGAGGAGAAGAGGGCTGAGAGGCGGCTAATTAGTGAAATGCATGTTTGGTTGCCTGGAAGATGAAAGAAAAGAATTTTCTACACCTTTCTTGGCAGCCAAACTGAATATAGAGACAAGACTATTTTTGGACATGGTTACATCAAAATATGTTAGTCCTTACCGATAATGAAGAGTGAGGCCTTCCATACACCGGTGCTGGCTCGGAGAGGAACCCTTCCTTTATGATCCACAGAAGAATCATAAACCCATTTCTCCTCATCAACACCTACTGATTCTACTTCTTCCTTTGTTTGTTCCATTTTCACTTTCAGGTTATGTGTTCACTCACTTTTCAAATTGGGAACAAAGAAAAAAGAACAATGAGACTCTCCTAAGAGATATTGCAGAGGATATATATCTGCTGTGATAGCAAAGATTGTTGGTAGGGTGGCAGCTTTGCTTTGTACTACTTATATAGGGAGGCTTTCTTTCTAGATAATTCTAGATACAGAAACAATCACAGAAAATATAGAAAGAACAATGCAAGTGGAATAGTCTCATAGTTGAAAGTGTATAGCCAAGATAATTTTATGGAGTCTGGCTACTCTATGATTAATTTGTGTAGTAAATTTTAAAGTAAATTTTTGTTGATCCATAAATTGTGGACATGTGTAAAGGTAAGATTTGAAACAAAAAAAGCAATATATAAATATATATACTAGTGGGTGTGTGCCCACCCGATGGGTGTGCTGTTAAATCTGTAAAATACAAATCTTGATTTTGAATTAAAAACATGTAGTATCTATTGTTCAAGTGCTAAAAGTGTTGTTTAGGAGATGAATGGTCTTACGTTCAAGTCCCTTTTAGCACCTCAATATTTAATTTTTTATTTTCTCTTAGAGAAATAAAGGACACGTGACATAAGAAAAAGGCTTGGATACCAAGTGACTTGTTCACTTTGTATATAGTGTATCCATAGATAGATTGATATATATTTATACACTTATACTAAATTATTGTCGTAGTTATCTAAACCAATTAGCAACTATTTTATAGAATATTACATAATAGCCGTGCTTCTGACCCCCAGCTGGGGGCACCCCCAGTAACTCTCCCAGTGTCACGTGTCGGCCTGGGATTGACTGGAAATAATAAATAAAAAAAGAAAATAATTTTTTTTTTAGCCAATCACATACGACCCCAGCACCCCGCTAGGGGTCGGAGGCTTTATTCATTACATAATTTAACTTTAAAGGATATAGATTTTATGGACACAGAAGTAATTATAGAAAGTCGGTTCTAAAGTTAGTCACGTGTGAGAAGATGTTTTTGTAGTGAAGAAAAGAATATAAAAACAAGGAATTTCTAGGCAATGGAATGGTTGTCATGGAGAATGAAAAAACATACATTTCACTTTTTAGTGGTTCTTCAACAGCCAAGCTGAAATCGCCTATAATGTGTAATCAATTCACATTTCAAGGATCAATTTCTCCCATAATGATATCTATGCTATCTAGAATCATCATAATATCAGCCAATTTTATTCTTTTAACTAATTGAGGAAGAATTTTCAAATTGACAAAATCAAGTAGTCGAATTTTCCATCACTAAGGAAACACACTCCGATCTCTTATTAGAAAAAATTGCAATTCTCATTTTGGAGCTTCGACTCTTACATAAATCTCTTGCTTTGACAATTCAAAAGTCAGAGAAGATTTTATTAAGCTGCAGTTCAGGGGCGGTAGACAAAAATAGAAAAACCATCGTTGGTGGTTTAGTTAAGTTTCCCTCAAAATCACACTACTTAAGCTATCATGCCAATTGGAGTTTTTTTTTATGTCAAGTAAAAAAAGTGGTCTTCGTAGAGGCCTGTAACCATTTTAAAAATGAATAAAGCATGACAGAGGTGTATGGTCTTTCTACCATGTTTTAATATATATATATATATATTCATATATGTCAATCCCTAGTATTCACATATTTATGTCAATCATAATTGAACTCATTATGGTCTTTCTATCATACTTATTACTGTGGAAGTTTGTTTGACTATATACAAATAAGCAGTTTTTTTCATTAAAAAAAAAAAAACTAAAAGCTAAAAAGCAAATAAGTTGTTTGATTCGAGTAAAAAAGTATCTTCTTTATAAATAAATAAAAGGTAATTTTTTGGATAATCACAATAGAATTATACAAATACGTTTCACCTTCAACACTTCTGAGATATTTTAACAAAGGCTCCAAAACCTAATAAAGATGATACAATTTTTCACCAAAAGGCAAAAGTTTGAAAGGACTCTACAAAACTTTCTCCATGACAAAAGAACATTTTTTTTAACAATTACCAAACGCATCAGTTTTTTTAAAATTTTAAAAAAGCAAAAAAAAGAAAAAAAAAAAAACCTAAAAGAACAATTGCCAAAGTCATATAACAAATGTTGTTATTGTTTTTCAATTTCAATCAATAAATTTGAATTTATTGGTCTCTATTACTTGACCTAAATCCAAACTTCTCTAATAGATAAACTAGGATGCAACTTTTAGCAGATAGGTTTATTATTGCGCTATAATCATTTAGTTTGACTTTTAAAATCTTTTCTTTATTTCAAAGTTGTTCTCATTTTTACTTTAATATTTCAACATATTCAATAACGTATGGTTTGGATTTATTTTAAGTATGAGTTTCACTATATAAGAGTTAAATTTAAACCACACTAATTTTCTTGATTTTTTTTGCATCTGAGTAATTTTTTTTTTTTTTCTTGATTTGGGTTATGAAGTGCGTAACTTTTATGATCAACTTTTCATGGTGGTCAGAGCACTCCCCACTCCATCATTAGCATATATACCAAAAATGATAAGATGGGCAGTGCCTCTCAAAGTAGGCCAACCAAAACTTATAAATAAATCCTCATTAAATTTTTCTTGGCATATTTTTTGTGGGACATCAACCAATCAAAGTGAAGGATTGTGAAGGTTATGACGGAAAACTAGTGTTGTTCAATGACCCATGTGTTGTTTAGTTGGTCTTCCTCTTCTAGGTTATGATTGTAAACCTCTCTAGTCCCACCAAGGATCCTCTAAAATGAAATTTCTCTAAAGTTTCCTAGAGTGCTACATTGTGTGGTTGAGATTAACTGGCAAGTCACATCAGAAAAATTGATGTGACTTGCCAGTAAATTTCAACCACACAATGTAGCACCCTAGGAAACTTTAGGAAAAAATTACTCTAGAGGATCCTTGCTCCTCTAGTCCAATGATCTTTCTTTCTTTCTTTTTTTTTCTTTTTTTTTTTTAAATTTTACATAAATATATATTAATTTTTTGTCTCCCAACCTAAGCTCAACAGAAGTGATAGAGCTTTTTCTTCTGGAAATCAGCCATTATGAAGAGAAAGTCTAGTAACACTTTCTAAATTCACCACCTTACCACTACTCACAAAAGTTATGGGTCCCACTTTATATGATGATGTGGGATTCACAACCATTCTGAATAGAGACTTTTTATTTGTTGGTTTAATTGATGTTGGTGACATTGCTGGGATGAAAAAGCTATTAGGTGTTTTATTTGTTAGTTTATAATTAGCCTCACACTATTTTTCTTAATCTTTTTCTATTTTTAAATTCTTAATCCCTAGCATTACTGTTCTTATCAAGAAACATATGCCATGTGAAAAATAGGAGAAGTAAAAAAAGAGACGCACTACTACCTGAGGGTTGAGGCCAGATAGTCAGGATCATGACTTTGGGTCTCACCAGTAATCAATGGGGGCGTGAGACTCACACGCATTAATCTTGAAGATACTTACGTGTATGTCTTAATAAGTAAATTTATTATTTAATAGGCTCTATGAAAAAAATTTGTCATAAAAAAATGTTACTAATTATAAATTTTAGCAACAATTTATAAAAATTATGACAAAAAAAAGTCACTAATTGTCAATTTTAGCGACGTATATAAAAAATCGTCACAAAAAAATTATTTTTAATGACAATTTTACCAAGACTTATTTTCAATAAGACTTAATGAAAATTAAATCTAACTATTAGGACCTATTGATAATTTATCCTTAATCTCCTTAATCTTGAACCATCAACTTCTTGAGCTTTTGCAGATCCCCTGGAAAACCCATTCCCTCCTCCATTTGCGGTCATGTTCCGCTGTCCTATGATCACGGTCTGCTGGAATGAAAGTTCGTTCAATAATAATATCCTTTTCAAAATTAAAAAAAATAAAAATAAAAATAAAAAACTACATAATATTGATACTTCTTTTTGGTCTTCTTTTCCAAAAAGAAAATGTAAATAGCAATTAAACTTACATGGCCGATCACAAGTGACAACCTTTATGATCATGTTTCATTTCACAAAATGAGCCTAATGATAAATGCACATATGTAAAATATACAAATAAAAAATTTGTAAGAAACAATACACCTATAAAGATGGTTTTTATTTACAATCATGACTGAGAGGGTAATTTTTGGAAAAAATTGGGCCGAGCTGCGAGTTGGGCTTTGAAGCCCAAAACGCGAAGGACTGAGTAAAAAAGGCCGTAAAGGGTATTCCGGCCCAGGAGAGATTAAAGGCACTCCGGCTCAAGCGGTTAGAGTTACTCCGGTCAAGAACGATAGATTTACTCCGGTTCTGAGGAGATGTTGACTCACTCCGGCCCAAGGAGGTGAGATTATTCCGGCTCAAGAAGAGATAGTTACTTCGGTCCAAGAAAGAGTAAAACTACTCCGGTCTGGAGGCAACTCACAGTTGGGCCGGTCTCAGTTAGTCCGGTCGCAGTATGTTCTGGGAAGGCCGGTGTCGGAATTAGTCCGGTCGTGACTTACGATGGTTAGGTCGATCAGAACTTGTTACTTGGAAGTTTGAACTAAGCACATCAAGGTTGAACAGGGCAGCCGAAGTAAGGAGTTGGAGGAGAAGACCGAGCTAAGGATAGTTCGGCCCTCTGTGGCTCGGTATAGCCAATTTTACTTCGGTCAAATGGAAGTTCGGCCGTAAAGAAAACCATCCCACTTGGTTTAAGCAGTGGGGGAGGGTGTAAAAGGATAAGCATTATCCTTAGAAGAATGAATCCTAGGAGGACTCTGCGTGGAGAAGTACAAGTCCTACTAGGATTGTGCCACGGGAAACTTATAAAAACTCACAAGCATCACCTTGGAGGAGGTAATTGAACACGATCTTTCTGAGAACTTAGAGCTTTGTCTATTTGTCAAGTTTTCTGACTTAGGCATCGGAGAGGTTTCCGGCACACACCCGCCGGCTAGCTCACGTTTGTGTTTTCAGGTGACAAAGCGACGTCGTACGGAGGAGCGTGGACTTGGTCAACAGGATTATACGAGGAGAATTATTTCCTCCCCGTACAATGACATTGCCACATTATTCTTGTAGCACTTCTGCATAAATTTTTTATATGAAATATAGTAATAGTATATAAAGAAAAAACTCATAC